CTGCCCCAGCCTCTTGAGTCCTAGAATTAAAGACATGCACAAAAATGGTACATTCTTAACAAATGTATAATACCTAAATATTTTTCTGTTTTAATATATAATGCTCTAAATATCAATAGCTATAACAGATAAGAGTGAAACATTTTGGAGTTCTTAAAATTCTTAACTGTATAAAGTGTTTTTGGGAACAAAAAGTTTGAGAATTATAGTATAGGAAAAATGATCCCTCTGTACCTTAGAAGAGAGCAAAAGTGGCATTATTAAAACTGGTACAGGAGTAGGATTGGTGTTGTGTATGACTGGTGGAACATCTGTCTGCTTAGCAAACAGGAGGCTTTGGGTTTAAATCTCAGCAACAAACACAACAGTAAAACTGTAGACAGGGAATTATGTGCAGCTGTTGGGATGAGTTGGTAAGGGTACTAGTGGCGATGACTTTTCTTGGTTAAGTTTGAAGCAATCCAATAGGAACTGACTTTCGGTTTTGTTTGCTTGTCTGTTTGCTTTTGTTTGTTTCAGGGAGGTTGAGGATTAAATATAAGTTCTCCTGAATAATATACTACCCACATAGTTATGCTCTGAGTCTCCCAAAGCCATTGTTAATCTTTCCATTTTCTAGATAGATAAATTGAGGTGTGGAGAAGTGTGACGTATGAAGGTCATAGAGAAGTAGAGATGGAATCATTTGCTGCTTGTGTCTCTACTTCCTTACTGACCACATTGGCACTAGGATGACTCATCAGTGAGTCAACTTTAGATCTTCCATTTGACCACAGTATCATAAATGGCAAGCCTGACTCCTTGTGAAGGACAAATTGTCAGACCAGTTTCATATTCTCTGTAACAAAATAAATAACAATCCAGGTTGGTGGCACATGTGGATTCTCAGCACTCAGGAGGCAAAGGCAGGAGGGTTGCTACAAGTACAAGGCTAGCCTGGTCTACATAGTGAGTTCCAGGTCAGTCAGGGCTATCTAGAGAAAACTGTATCAAAAAGACCAAAATCACAAACAAAAGCAAAATCCTGACCAGCTGAAGAAATTATTACAAAAAAATTAGACAACTTATATCTATAAAAATACAATAACATAAAGATCCAGTTATTTTATAAGCATAGGATAGAAGACAAATGAAAAAAGGAATATGCTAAGAAGGTCTCTCGTCGTCTGTAAGGTAAATATTTCCTGGTTTTGGTGGCCATGAAAAAAGGCAAAGTGATACAAGGTTGTGGTGTTTAGAAAGAGCGTGACTTGTGAGCCAGGCTGGACGTAACTCTGTAGCGTGAGACAGGCAGCTTCTTTGCGAGGACCATGCCCACCTTGGTCATTATGGTTGCAGGAGGTGAGAGAAGCATGGATGTTTGAATCATGACCCTAGGATGATTAGCACAGAGGACTGTGGAGGAGAGGGAGAGAACTTGAACAGTTGCTGGCTGGAAGATCAAGTGGGGTAATTGGTAGTTGCCTTTGGTATAAACTGTCGTTTGGTTTCAGCATCTTGTGCTAGCTGGGATCTTTTGGAAATAGAAGCTACGTCTGCTCCACACTTCATTATGTCTAGCAGATGTTGCTTTATGGTTCTGAACTCAATTTTCAGAATGAGTGTTAGTATCAAATGACAGTCCTAAAAACAGAAAAGAGGAAATTAGTTAACTGGCCACTTACCATGACAGTTTTAAGAAGGTTCCAGACTTGTAGTTTTGCCTGTCTGAAGTAGAAAAGTAAAGTGTGTTTCTAAGAAAAGAAATGATACAGCATGTTAACTAGTCTCAACTGAAAGTTCATTTGTATTTTGAGAGAAAATTAAGAAAAAAAAAGGTTGACAAAGCATTCAGTGATATAGTCTATTACTTAATGTTTACCTCTTCCCATTCTTCGTCCCCAATATTTAAAATGGAAAATGTGTTCTGACAATATTTACCAGGGATCCGAAAGGAAAAGGAAAGGAAAAACGTCCACAACTTAGTTATTTTCAGGTTATCACAAACCAGTTCAGGTCCTGACTCTTACTTGAGTCAGAATACTGAGTCAGTTCATCAGCACTGACGTGTAAGATTTGAGCCTCGTGTGTGTTGAAGATGGGGCCTGGTAGAGAAGATGCATTTATGTAATAACACTGTTACTCAATACTCTTGCATTTTTCTTCACATGTTATCTTAATGGAAATTTACTGGAAAATCCTTGCCAGAATAAATACACTCCTTCAGGAGTGAAAGGCTTACCAAGCTTCTTATTTAGCTGCACCTCTTTCTTGTGAGCAGATAAACCAAATTATTTGTTATTAGTCATTATACTTTGCACGGTTCACAGAACTCATTGTGTCTCCCATGGGGGCTAGGGGCTCTAGAAGTAAGAAACAAGAAAACAGCAGTCAGTTTTTACTCTAATGAGCAATAAAACAAATAGATGAGGCATCTGTGGAGATGAACAAAAAATGAACATGAAATGAACAAAAAATGAATCTGGCAGACCTTCTCTAAATTGGCTTCAGTATCCTGATGAAGCAGGGCTGATTTAGGGCAGTGGGCCATGGCTAAGCTAAACTGCTGGAAATTGAAAAAAAGAAAAGAAAAAGAAAAAGAAGCTATTTCTGAGAGGGTTAACTTTTCATTCACAATTTAAAAATCAGGATCAAAAGTCTACAATGAAAACAGCAGCTATACAGTGATAACTGGGGTCAGTCAAGGGACCTGGGGACTTACATAATGACGTAAACAGGATGACTGGGACTAGAAGGGAGGAAGCACCCCTTGAATTAAGGGATGGAGGAGGCCAACAATGGACAATGGAGACTTGAGTAAAGAGATTCACAAACACGCCTAGATTTCCTCTTGTTGGCTCTGGTCCTAAAATCCACCCGTCACCACCTCAAGGTTGCTACCAGGAACAGAAGTGGGATTTTTTGGGGGGGGGAGTGCATCCTCACTTCATAGCCCAAGGTGGCCTTTAATTTGCCATCCTTCTGTGCCTGCTGAGCTTTCAGGGCTGTGCACTACTGTGCCTTACTCCAGGGAGAGATTTTAGTGAACCTTTATTCATTCTCTTGCAAACAGCAATAATAAAGTACTTAAGACCTAGGGACCTATCTTTAAGAGAATAAAACTGGCCTATTAGTATATTATAGCTAACTGCTCACGTATACTTCATTTACTTGTGATTAAGTTCTTTGACTTAAAAAAACTATTTGGAATTAAATGACTGGATGAAATTTACCAGAGTTTAGTGACCTTCTCCCTCATATAGTGTTAAAATCGTATTTTAAGTAAGTCTGAGAAAGACCGGATTAAGTGTAAGAATGGTCCCTCATGCATTATTAAATTATTTTATTTTATTTTCAGTATGTACAAGATATAAAACCAGTCTAGCAAGTGTTACTTGATAGTTGTCCTTCTTGAGAGACAAAAGACCAATTTGAAATTAAGATATTAAAACCTTTTTCACCAATTTTTATCCCGACTGAAATTGTACTTAAAATTTTGTATACAAAGTAAGGGCATTACAGATGAAAACTTTCCTTTTTTAAGTAATTAGGTGCTGTTTTTCATGTATCTGTAAATAATAGTAAAATTTTAAAAAATATTTCTACTTTATATGGGTTTTTTATAAGTTCCCTTAATTCAATTTTAGAAGTGGGTAGGATATGAATACAAATAAAATATAGTTTAATTGAAGCCATAAAAATCTCATTCAAAGACTGATTAGGTGGTCAGCAACTAACAGCACTTGCTGCCACGTCTAATGACCTGAGCTGGACCCCTGGGACTCACGTGATAGAAGGAGAGAGCTGACCCCCACAAAGCTGTGTTCTGACTTCCACATATGTGCCATGGTGCATATACCCTCCCATGCAACAAATAAATAAATGTGATTAAAAAAAAACTCATTCAATTTCTCTTTTTCTTTATACACAATAAAATAAATGTTTGAGCCTGGCATGGTGGTGCACGCCTTTAATCCCAGCACTTGGGAGGCAGAGGCAGGTGGATCTCTGTGAGTTGGAGGCCAGCCTGCAATAATAATAACAATAATAATAATAATAATAATAATAATAATAATAAATATTTGAAACAATTCCAAGCAATTCAGAATTGCCAATAAATGAGTTTTTAGTCACATTTACAAATTATTGCTACATTAAGTCATAGGTACATTTATAAGTTTTAAACGTGCTTTCTTCAAGCTATACGCAATCAATGGATAGGGAATCAGTTTTCTTTAGGGACAAGCTCCCTGATAGGTTATCCAGTCCTAAGTGATCAGCCCTAGACACATGTACACACGAGCACCACTGAAAGGCCTCAGTGCATTGTATATATGTATATCTATAAATACGTGTGTGTAACACTAATAAAAGAGAGGACAAGAAATTGAAAGGGAGTGGGGAGATATGGGAGGAGTGGGAGGGAGGGAGGGAGGGAGCGGTGAGCTTGATGTAGACACAGCACTCATGAAATTCTCAAAAGTAAAAAGTTTTGGGAAGAGCGTTTTCTTCAGACAACTTTAACACAAATTTAATATATTATCCTGTTTATATTTTAGTATTAAAAATAAAATGGAAACTGAAATAGTACTTTATATAGCAGTTGCAGGTGTTGGCTATAAGTTGATTGAATTTAATGTATAAATATTAATGGTACAAATTAAATACTATATAAAATTTATTCCTAATTTTATTAATAGCCAGCAATCAAGGTTCACTCACCCTTTTACTTTCTGAATACAGATTTAAATGACTCTGAAGTAATTTAAGTGGAATATAAATGGAAAGGTAAGTTGCTACTTTTTCTTCCTCATTGGTTTTTGTAGCTCATGAAGCTCTTCCTTCTGTAGATATGCTATGAGTAGCCCCCAAAGATCAACATTTTGAAGATATGATCTCCCTTGTTTTACTAAGGAGAACTTAAGGAGTTTCCAAATTCCTCAGCTCATTGCTGAGATATTTCGGAAATTGTGCTAGTTTCTCATGTCCTGAAATGAACCATGTTGGTTTTGAATTTATAGTCGCAGATATGGCCAATACACCATGAACCAGGAAAGCTCTACCAAAGTTACAGAGAAGCCTCCATTTGATCGATCAAGCTCCCAGGACTCCTTGGATGAACTATCTATGGAGGACTATTGGATGGAAGTAGAAAATATCAAGAGGTCTAGTGAAAACGGACAAGAAGATCAAGAGGTGGTGGTTGTCAAAGAGCCTGGTGGTAATGACTAAGTGAATAAAGCTGTGTGTGTGTTAGTAGGAAATGAATGCACAGAAGGGAAGGGAATGAGCCCTAAATGGTCTTGCTGGCTGCCTTTGAACTTGAAGATTGCTGGATTGTGGCAGATGTAGGGGTGCGGCTACCAGATGCAAGTGGTATGAGCAAAATCTATAGCTACGTCCAAGCCGTTACATGGGCTTCGATTTAATCTTTAAGATCGTCTACACTGCCTGTTTAGGGAGTGACAAAATATCCGTAACCAGGCCTGGCAGCATACAAAGGAGGCTGAGGCAGGAGGATCAAAAGTTCAAAACCTGCTTGAGCTCCATAGTGAGACCCTGATTAAACAAGAAAGGAAGAAGAAGAAGAAAAAAAAGACAGATAGTCCACACCCATGCTGGTTCAGACCAGACACATTTGTTTTCTAATAATACATTCAGTCCAAGGTTGGTTGAATCCTCAGTTGCAGAGCCTCCAGGTGAGGAGGGCCCACTGTATTTAAGTGCACTGTTTAATTCCTACTTCCAGTGTTCTGAATCGATTATCTGTTCGGTTATCTGATTAGTTTTTATGTAAGCTGTATTTTTGTTGAAAATAGTGTGACTTTTAAAATTTCATAGTAAAATTTCATGATTTTAAATAATCTGATGTACTGAATTGAGGGAAAATTAGAAAAATGGCGTTTGATTTTACATAGTTCCCAGTGCCCAGATTTCTGTTTTTAAAATACTAACTTGTCATACACCTCATCCGTTCCATGGAATGGAGAAAGGAAACCTTTTTGTAAATTAGTGAGATAGTGTGAACTTCAAGCCAAGGAACTCTGCCTGGATGCACACCCTCCGCTCCAGCTTCCCTCACTGCTTCATGGTGAAGTGAGCTTTTCATTGCTTGCTTGTCTCTGGAAAGGGAGCAGTATCATCCTCCCTAGTTAATCTACAGGGAAGTTGTAGAGGTTAATTACATGTGAAGTAATTTAAAATTTTTTAATTGAGTATATATGAAATTGACCCAAAATTTGATATCGCTGTGGCCAGAGTTGATGGCAGTTGTCCAAGTTTCAGATAATGATTCTTAGCACTGTAGCTTGGTTATAATAGAGGAGTTCCAGTAAGGGTTTTTTATAGTCTAAAAATTATGAATGCTCTTATATTTTGCGATTTCAAAACCATTTATTTTTCTTTTCTATTATTTTAGAGGGTGAACTGGAAGAGGAATGGCTCAAAGAGGCTGGTTTGTCCAATCTCTTTGGAGAGTCTGCTGACGACCCCCAAGAAAGCATGGTGTTTTTATCCACACTGACCCGGACACAGGCAGCAGCTGTTCAGAAAAGGGTAGAAACAGTCTCCCAGACCTTGAGGAAGAAAAACAAACAGTACCACATTCCTGACGTCAGAGACATATTTGCTCAACAGAGAGAGTCAAAAGAAAAAGTAAGATCCTTTCTGATATGAAGGCAAAAGATTAATTGCTTAGATTCATCTGGACCAATCCAGTTTAACTCAAATCCTTACAAACTTCATGAGCACCTATTATGTTCCTGGTATCAAAGCTCTGTGCTGGCAGTGGACCAAGGCTCTTGATCTTTGTCCTTCTGTAAATTACAACAATGGGGTAAATCCTAAGTAAGTTAAAAATCAGTGTAATAATCCAGTGTTGGGGAAGACAGGGTCCTTGGAGCAACAGATGTGTCTCTCACACCAAGGGGCATGACAGAGTGGCAGAGAAGGCCTTCCATACAACCTGACTGCCAGTTGCTTCTGATAGAAAAGCAGGAGGTAGGGAGTCTTCCTTATTGATTATTGCTTGTAGAAATGCTTGATTTTTACCCTCGTTGAGGGAGGGGTAGAAGTAGAGTGTGAGGGAGCTGGTGGCAGCTGTGCTATGAAGTAGGGAGACCTGGAGATGTGAAACAATATCCTCTTTGTGTCTGTCACTGTACCTTATGTGACTTACAGATTGGAGTAAATACTGCCCCAGATGGTTGATTTGTTCATGGAAGATCTTGGAGTACGATGGAAACAGAAGACTGGGGAATGAAGAGATGATAGAGATAGAAGTACTAGACCCACATGGCCCTGAACAGTGTTATTCAGTGCTGGCCATTTGATAAATTCCTTATCATTCATTCATTCATTCATTCATTCATTCTTTCTTTCTTTCTTTCGAAAATAAAGAGCTTTCATGGGATGGAAATCATCACACCTGCTTTCATGAAGAAAGGCTTGCCTACTAACAAGGAAAAGTCACTGAACTAAGTGTGGTCTTAAAAGGACAGATCTGGCTTAGAAGAGTCAATGAAATGTCTGGGAGGGTAACAAAGGAATTCCTGAACAATGATTGTAATGAGAACACAAACAGTAGCAGTTGCTGCCTGCTACCAAACACTGCCTGCACTAACCGCCCTACCTGTTTTATCTCATTTAATCCCCACAGCTGTCTTATGAGTGAGGTGTTATCACTTCCATCCTTTGGCTGAGGCTCATGGACTTTAAGTAGCTTGCTCAATGTCCCATAGATACTAAACCCAAATTTGTCTGACTCCAAATGACATGCTTTTAACCATTCTCTTTCCTGCTGTATTTTCATTTCCAAACAGGATTCTGCTATTAAGCCCTCTGAATATGAGATTCTATTTATACTGTAAGTGAAGGCGATAAAATTTTTACGCTTCTTCATAAAAAGTGGAATGAAAGGGCTTATATTTAAGGCATAATTTTTGTTATGTAGAGATTTTTTTGTCTACTTTTTGTAGACATTTCCTTCTTCTGCAAAATCCTTTTTCATTGCAGATTACTATTCTGCTTACATGACCAATTGTGAATCAAACTCAATCCACTTACAGGAATTCCAAGGTCACTAGATTGGTCCAGGCACTTGCTATTTGGTTATTTGAAACATCTACTAGTGCTAAAGGATTTAAGTAGGTTTCCAGTTGTTCAAAAATGAATGGTAAGGATATATAGAGTGGCATTACCTTCATAACTAAACAGCACTACCCCTCTGCCTCCAAGGGAGCTCAGAGGAATGAAAAGCCGAAATGGACTGAGAGCTGAACCTTAGCAAACTATATGATGTGGGATTCCTGTTGCTACTTGGTGCTGGAAAAAAATTTTTCCAGCAAATTCCTGGAATGTCTGACCCACCTGGGTTAGAATTCAAGATAATCAGTGAATTTTATCATCTGGTGGTTTCTTAAAGAGAGAACTAGCACAAGCAAATTTTCTTGCTTATGCAGGGTACCTTTAATTGAAACACCACCATTCTTTAGAAGTTGGTATTCCATCCCTCATCCCGCAAGCATCTATCCTTGTTAGGAGTGTGTGTGTGTGTGTGTGTGTGTGTGTGTGTGTGTATTTGGCTCTTATATTTTCAGTACTTTCTTGTGAAGCCTGACTCTAGGACATTTAATACTGAAATGCATACCATCTGCATGCCCATCTTCAGTTGCTAAGGAAAACAGTTCTGACCACATACTGCAAAATATTCATTCATATGTAATATTAGAATCCCTGCCTGTGTTCACTGTGCCATGGAGGCCAGACTTCTGCAGCCTTGTGGCGGAGGGAAGGAGAATATTGTCCTACAGCCAATGAAGGTGTAGCTTTCACCCACTTCTGTGAGTTAGCATTTACTGTCCAGTATCCTGGATACTATGGGTCTCTTAACTTGTACATTAATGTCATATGACTACCTGCCCTTATGATTTCTAAATATTTTCGTTTTTATGTGTATGAGTGTTTACTTGTATATATGTAAGTGTACCCTTGCATGCAATGCCTACAGAGGCCTGAAGAAGGCATTGGATCCCCTAGAACTGGAGTTATGGACTGTTGTTAGTCAGGGTGTGGGTTCTGGGATCTAAATCAAGGTCCTCTGGAAGAGCAGCTAGTGCTCTTAACTGCTGAGCCATCTCTACAGACCCACCCCCAACTCCCCCTCCACCCCCGCCCAGTGCTTTTAAAATTACAGATGATGGAGGGGAATCTTTTTTGGCTAACAGCTTGAGGTTAATTTTGTGGTGAGGAAACTACAAAGGCCACTTTTTTGAGTATAGAGGTAGAATCTAGTAAATGTTTATTTAAAAATCATTCATTCAAACAGGCCCCTTTGTATGATTGGCTCAAACTTCCTTTCCTGAGCTCTGAGACTCTTCCAGAACTCTACCTGGAAAGAAGTTCTGGCCATAGGCTCCCCACATTCATCAGTTCCTGGAGGGCCCAGCTATCAGGTGTCACAGCACCAATCCTTTTACCTAAAGAAAAGAATTCTGGGGCTGCAGAGATGACTCAGTGGTTAATGGCACTGGCTGCTCTTACAGAGGACCCAGGTTCAATTCCCAGCACCCACATGGTGGCTAACAACAATCTGTAACTCCAGTTCAAGGGAATCCAGCACTGTCTTATGACCTCTGTGGGCACTGCACAACATGAGTGCACTTACATGCATGCTGGCAATACACTCATAAACATAAAATAAAAATAATAAAGAAAATATTTTAAAGAATTCCTGGGTTAGAGAGATGACTGAGCAGTTAAGAGCACTGACTGCTCTTGTAGAGGACCTGGGTTCGATTCCCAGAACCCACATGGCAGCTAACAACCATCCACAACTCCAGTTTCAGGAGATATGAAACCCTCTTCTGACCTCCGTTGGCATTGTACCACATTGGTGCATGTACATACTTGTAGGCAATACACTTATACACATAAAATAAAAATAGTAAAAATATTTAAAAAAATAATTACTTTGAATATTTCAGTGCTTATCAGTTTGACAATTTAGTTTCAATTTATCTCACTTTTTAAAAAAAGTTATTTTTGTGTGTGTATTGATGTAGGTGTGTATATGGAGGTCAGAGATAAACATTGAGTATCTTTCTCAGTTCTCTTATTTCTTGAGAAAGGGTCTCTCACTGAATCCAGAGCTCACTGATTTAGCTAGAATGGCTCCAAGGATCTGCCTATCTCTGCCAGATGAATGCTGCCCTGCCCAGCTTTTTATACGAATGCTGGGTTTTGAATTCAAGTCTTCATGGTTGCACAGAAACCACTTTACCCACCGAGCCATCTCACATTTATGATTGCTTCTTATTAATTAATTAAATAATTTTGAGACAAGATCTAACTCTGTAACCCAACCTAGCCTTGAACCCGCCACATAGCCCAAACTGATCTCAAATTCATGGCAGCCCTCCTGACTCAGCCTTCAGAGTACTTGGGATTTTAGGCATGAGCCATCACATCTGCTGATTGCCTTTTTATTTTTAAGAATTTCTATTTTAGGGGCTGGAGAGATGGCTCAGCGGTTAAGAACACTGGCTGTTCTTGCAGAAGACCCGGGTTCGAATTCTAGCACCCACATGGCAGCTAACAACTGTCTGTAACTCCAGTTCCAGGGGCTCCAACAGCCTCTCTGTCCTCCGTGGGCATTGCATGATACGGGTGCACTTACCTGCATGCAGGCAATACACACATGCACATAAAAATAATAAAGTATTTTTAAAAAAGAATTTTTATTTTAGGGACTGGAGAGATGGCTCAGTGGTTAATAGTACTTGCTGCTCTCGCAGAATACCTGGGTTTTGTTCTCTGCATCCACATGGCCTTTCACAATCATCTGTTCCAGGGGATATCACATCCTTTTCTAGTCTCCAGGGGTACAGGCATCCATGTGGTATACATACAGGTCAATAAAACATTCATACATATTAAAAAAAATAAAAATCTTTAAAAAATTTAGTTTTACTTCCAATGTGTTAGCTTATACTTTTTTGTCTTATAATAGCATTATTGACTATAATTGACATACTATATTAGTTACTTTTCTGTTACTGTGTTCAAACACCATGACCAAGGCAGCTTATAGAAAAAGAATTTATTTGGGTTTAAGGTTCTAGAGGAAGAGCCCTCCATGGCAGGGAGGCATGGCAGCAGTCAGTAATGGTGGCTGGAGCAGGAAGATGGGAGCTAACGTCTTCAAGCACACACAGGAAACAGAGAGAGCACGTTGGAAGGGATATGGCTGTGAGCTCCCAAAGCCTGTCCTCAGCAAGGCTGCACCTCCTAAAGTTCCCATAAACATCCCCAAACAGTGCTACTAACTGGAGACCATATACCAAATGTTCAGATACTTGAGCCTATGTGGGTCACTTCTCATTCAAACCCCACATTACACTCCCTGGTCCCCATAGTACATCAAAAGTCCAATATTGAAAGTCTCTTCTGAAATGCAAGACAATCCCTTAATTATAACCCCATGTAAAATCAGAAAAGAAATTACGTCCTTCCAACATACAGTGGCATAGAATATAGATTACCATTCTGAAAGAGAGGAATGGGGACATAATGAGGAAATACTGGACCAAATCAAAACTGGAACCCAGCAGGACAAACACCATATTTTAAAGAGCTACCTGTCCAGTGTCTGGGGCTTTAGTTTGAAAGGGCCTATATGGCTCAGCCCTGCAGCTTTGTTGCCTACAAATATCTCTCTCAGACTAGTTCCACTCCCTGTATGCAACTCTCCTTGGTAGGTATCTCAGGGCTCTGACATCTCCAACATCTTTGGGACTCCACTGGAACCCAGGCTTCACTTTCACAGTTATAAGCAATGGCCTCCCTGGGCTTCCTAGGACTCCCCTGCCACATGTTGCCTGGCCTCCATGCTTCTCTGAAACAGTGGAGGAAGAACTGATGACCTCTTCACTTTTGCATCTTTCATGCCTCTAAACCCAGAATCAGGTGGCTGACACTGTTTGGGGTTGGACCCTGGCCCCCTTCAGCAGCCTTTGTATATTGTAGTTTTCTGACAGCATAAAACTCCTTAGGCTCTCTTTCACAAGTTGAAAGTTTAGCTGGGTTGGGTCTTGCCATGAGGGTACTCTTTCTGTTGTTTAAGTGAAGATCAGGAGGCCTTTCCTTAATGGCCTGTAATTACAATTACAGCCTCTCTTATAGGACACACCTTGGTTGCAGCATTAAGTTTCCTAGTGGTTTCTTTCTCTCCAAACTATACATTTTGTATTTCTTTCTGCCCTACTTGCTCTTTTCCATTTTATCCTTGTAAAAAATTTATCAGTAATAACCAAGCTATAGACCCAACATTATGCTGTTTTGAAATTTCCTCCACCAAAATAATTAGTTCATTACTTTTAAACTTAACTTCAGGCAAGTTCTTAGGCCTCGGGAAGAAGGCAGCCAGATCCTTTACCAACCATTACAGTAATAACCTATAGCCTAGTAGCTATTTAAGTCCTTGCTTTCCTCTGGAACTACATTGCTCTCAGCACTACTGTCTTCCAGGCTCCTACTAGAATAGCCCATTAAGCTCTGCTCAGAGCATTCAACCACTTTTCTAGTCTAAACTTCCAAAGTCTTCCCTGTTCCTCTAAAAAAATAACACGATCAGATTCTTCACAGCAATAACCCAATCTCTGTACCAACTGCTATATTAGTAAGTTTTCTGTTGCTATGAAAAACACCATGATCAAGGCAACTTATAGGTGGAAGAGTGTATTTGGGCTTATACCTTAAGAGGGAGAGAGTCCATCACAGCGGGAAGGCATGACAGCAGGCAGGCATGGTGGCTGGAGTAGAAAATCTGAGAGCTCACATCTTCAAGCATGCCCAGGAAGCAGAGAGAACAAACTGGAAGTGGGACAAGGCTGTGAACTATCAAAATCTGCCACCAGTGATGTGCTTCCAACAGCAAGGTTGCGCCTCCTAAAGTTTTCATGATTTTCCTCAAACAGCACTATCAACTGGGGACTATGGGCCAACTGTTCAAGTATTTGAGGCTATGAGAGATGCTTCTCATTCAAACCATCACAAATACCATGAAATTATCCAATTTAAGTGGAAAACTTAATGTAGAAATGATTGCCAGTTTGATGTAGACCTCAGCCATAGAATGAGAAACTATCTCAACAACAACAAACATGCAAAGTCATTTTCTTCAGTGGTATAGCCACTGACTCTTTGCCCATACTCCAGTAATTAACTCCCCACCCATGCTCATGGAAGCAGCACTAATTAGACTTAGTAGGCTACCCCCCCCAAAAAAAACACACAAAAAGCATGAAAGTAAGAGGGCAGTTTGTTGGAGGAAGAGGGTTTCTATGGTGGTGGAGGGGGGGTAAATAAAAGACGGTAATAGAGGTAGCAATTTAAAAGACAATGATAATATAGGAGTATAATATTTCTACCATCATCACAATCCATTGTAATGCATTTTCATCATCCTCCAAGAAGCTCATACTCATCTGCAGTTCCCACAACCCTAGTCTTAGGAAAACACTAATTTTCTCGTCTCTCTAATTTGCCTGTTCTGGACACTTCATAGAAATTGAGCCATAAAGCACGTGGCCTGCTGTGACTGGTTTCTTTTGTGTATCATAAAATTTTCAAGCTTCATGTCAAAGCTTGTATCAGAGCTTCCTTTCTTTTTACTGGTAAAGATGATGTGATCATGTTGGTAGATAACATTTATCCACTTACCACTTGATGGCTATTGCCACCTTTTTAACTTTCTCCCTCAGCTAGATAGTGATGTTTTTGATGACAGGGACACTCAGGGCATCTTTCACACTCCCCGTTGTGCTTAGTGTGTTCCTCACTGTTGTGGGTAATTGCATACTTGTTGGGTGATTATCTGTTGATTATAACCATGGTGCTTTTGGCCTCACTGTGACTTGTATAAGTCTGAGCACATTTCTTATACTCTGAAGGTTATAATGGAATGATTTACAATACCATTTTCTAGGGTTGTGAGTTGGAGATGAAAAAGTGACTCCTTTTCTGTTTTTAGTCTCCAGATGGCTCAGAATTGCAGTCAGTCAGAACAAACGAAAACAAACACCAAGGAGAAGACGGTATGTTCAACCTGTGCTCTTGTTCTTTTCCCCCTTTAATTAGAGTGATAAACAGTTACAACTTTCAAATATTCACCTTCAATACTACTAAAGAACTTCTTTTAAAATACTAATGTAAATTCCAGTGAGGATAATTACATGTTTCTGCACAGAGTTGGACTTTTATTGTCTTTATGTATATTACCATCAAGTCCAATATCCACATATATCTTCCTAAATGTCTATTCTGTACTAAGTGGTATGCAAACATGTTTACTCATGCAGTACAGTGAAGAACTCTATACCGTAGGTGCTATTTTCAACCCATTTTACACATGCGAGAACTGAGCTTTAAAGATGGGAAGCTACTTTCTCAAGGTCATGCATCTAGGATGTGGAGTTAGTACCTTGTTTGTAAATCACAACTCCCAATTCATAAGTGTATTTATTCTAGAAATTTCAGAGAAACTTAAAATAAAACTCTTAGATTGTTTTTGCAATTGATTCTAATTCACCCTTTCATGTATTTTTTCTTTAAATATTGGTTATTTCAGAAATGAGTTAGAAATTCAGTGTTCTAAAAGAAAACGAATACCAAGATTCTATTAATCATCAAGAAAAGTTTATAGCTGTACTAGATGGTGGAGGAGGGGGTCTGACTATGACCAATCTCAATCAATAAAAATATTATTTAAAGAAAAAGAGGGGTGAATGTTCTAAATATAGGTCCTAGATTTAAGCTTAAAAATATAGCCTTCTTGTTATTTAGCAAATATTAACGTAGATGAACTGTGTGTTTCTGTTCTTAAATCTCAGCATCTGAAGCATCTGTGCCAATGTAGTGCTGTCTTGGCTTTGATGTATTTGGGTGGGGGGTATCAGTAAACTGTGGAGGCCTGGGAAGCATTCCCAACCTTTCTATAGAACTCACACACACTAGCACAAGATTATATGGGATGTTTTACAATATTACAGCATCAATCATCTTTATTTTTTCCATAATATTCCCAGTATTATTAACCTCCTATATCCTCACTTTTAAGCTTTCAAAAGATAAACCATATACAATACATATATGTATATTTATAATGCATGTGTCTGAGTACACACAAAAACATATACACACACATATCTGTAAAAGTACTATGAAGGTTTCTGTAGCTACATGTGTTGTATCAGAATGAATTACTGTCTGTGTGCCACCAGACACTGAAATGACAAGCAGGCTGGCCTGCTGGAGAGCTGGGTCCTCAGAGATACAGATGAATCTTTTGTGCCAATGTCAATATGCTTTGGGTTTTGAGGAAGAGTGACTGTGGTTGTTTAACAGATACGGAGGCCAGCATTGTCCCTTCTCCATGTTTTCCTCCCTTGCCAAAGATCATAATGTAGACTATATCAACAAAGGTTCTGGAAGACAAGTCCATTATATGATCACTTTCTGGCCGAGACTGCAGCAGGCAAAGGAGATGTGATACACTTGTGGCCTGATTTACATCTGCTTTAGCTGGAATCCTAAGCAGTGGAAAAGGACTTACCAATTAGAATAACAAGAGACTGTGGATAGCCATCCAAGTCACTGACTGGGTAGCTGCTGCTACAGCTGTCTGGGAAATGCCCTGCTCTTTTGCTTATCAAGAAGTGTTTTGAGCACATTGGAAAGTTCAGAAAGATATGCATGGACACATTTTCTAGGGTTGCAAAGTGAAGCTGCTTCTGATTAAAATCCAAACACTCCTAAACTGAATGTTCTCTCGATCCTTGGGTTTTTATTTCATTCAGAACTACTTACTTGGGGCTGGAGAGATGGCTCAGTGGTTAAAAACACTTGCTGTTCTTCCAGAGGATCTGCATTTGATTGCCAGCATCCACATGGCAGGCTAACAACCATTTGAAACTCCAGTTCCAGGGGATCAAAAACCATCTTCTGACCTCTGTGGGCATTGCATGACACCAGTGCACTTACATATATACAGGCATAATGCTCATATATGTAAAACAACCTACTTCAAATTTAAAAAGTTATAAATGTTGAATATTGCAAATATTGTCACATTTCACATTTATCCATCTTATATATTATCAAATAATATAACTCTATAAAAGACCCAGTATTTAACATATTTATTTAGAAATATTAATATATGAACAATTAAAAAATTTTATGGTAATTTATATATTTTTCTTTTGCGCTTTATGAAATAAACTTTTTTTATATTTATTATTTTTTAAATTTTATGTGTATGAGTATATTGCCTGCATGTATGTGAGTGCACCCATGTCATGCAATGCTGCAGAGGTCAGAAGAGGGCATCAGATTCCCCTGGAACTGGAGTCAAGGACAGTTTGTAGCCACCACGTGGGTTCTGGGAATCAAACCCTGATCCTCTGCAAGAGCAGTCAGTGCTCTTAACCGCTGAGTCATCTCTCCAGCCCCAGAAAAATATTTTTAAAATAAAGGTATTTCTGAATATTTTGGACAGCTGAAAAAGTTTGGGGAGATTTGTAAAGATATAACCTAGAACTATTGTCCACTTCAAAACCAAAGGAAAGGGCTAGGGAGGTGGCTTAGTTGGTAAAGTACTTGCAGGTAAAATACTTACCTCATAAGCATGAGAACCTGAGTTTAATCCCCAGAAACCATATAAAACAGCCAGGCACACATGTGCTTCTAATCCCAGCCTTGGGGAAGCAGAGGCAGGCAGATCCTGGGCTTTCCTGGCCAGCCAGCCTAGACTGCTTGGTGAGTGCCATGCTAACGAGAAGCTTTGTCTCAAGAGAATGGTCAACAGTGCCTGAGGTAAGACAACTCTGGTTTCCACACACATGGGCACACATCTTTAAGTGCTTTCATATGAAAAACATGTTATGTATACCACCCCCCAACAAAGAACAATAGGTTAAAGAAATTATACTACACTTGAGGACTTAACAGGCAAGAAGGTTTACCACAGTATTTTCCTCTAATTTTTCTGCTGGAGAATAATGGTTCATCTTTCTTTCTTAGGCCATTTACCATTCATTTCCTAACAATGATCTCCACACACCATTGCAATTATTTTCCATACTACTTGCCTTAACTTGATGTCACATTTGAGCTGAGGTTTTTACATATCATATTTTGTTGCTGTTACCATGTCTTCTGGAGAAAATTTGTATGTTTTAGATGTGTTCTAAATTGTTCAGTTTTGAATTCAGCATAGTGATTTATTTGGGTATGCATGGGGGCCAATTATTGGAATACTAATGCGGAGGCACCGAAGAGAATCATATTTAAATTCTTGTCCACAAATATCCAGCTGACGAAAGGTAGCTTCTAATTGAAGAAAACGGCTCATCATTTTTTTTTCTCCTCGAGTGGTTTCCTAGGAAACCAATAATGTATTCACAGCAAAACATATAACAGCATAAAGTAATGGGGAAATAAAATTTAAATTTTGCTTTGACATTTATGATAATACTTTTAAAATTAATCATAAAAGTTATGAAGTGTTCGATTTAAAAATTAAAGCACTGTTGAAGAACACAAATATAACATAGATGGTGGAAGACCTGCCACCCATGAGGTTTTAATTTTATTCTTATTTTGGAGATTGACTCCAGTAAATGTTTGCTCACTTAACTGAGAGATTGCACGCGAACCTGCTGGGCCAGCATGCACTGAAAATCTAGGCTTCTTACAGGTTTCCATTTGGCAGAGCATTAAAACAAGGACAAGATCCTTCTGAGCTGAGTTTCCCATATTGCTGCACAGGCCACATGGCTAAGAAGCCCTCACTGCTTATGTAATGGGAATGAATAAGACTGGATTCCTATTTACTTCTTAATTTTATTTTGATTGAAACACAGTTTTTATAATTTTATATTAAATCATGACGAGCATACTGTTTGGAGTAGTAGATTTTAATAAACTCTATGTGACATGTACTCATTAAGTTTTTAAATTAATTTTATCTTCTACCATTTTCTTATTTCACGATATGCAAATGCTATCAGGTAGCATGTTAATGAATTGTGGGTTTTGTTGTCTTGTTTTGTCTGTTATTATTTGATACAAGATTCCATATAACCCAGGCAAGCAAATAACTCACTATTTGAATAAAAGGCATATATCCCCATACCCAGGTGTTGGTTTGTTTATTTAGGATTTATTTACTTAAATTTATTATTATTGTCTGTATGTGTAATGTGTGTTCGGGCACACGCATATACCATGATGCACTTGTGGAGGTCAGGGAACAACTTTTGGGAGTTGGTTCCCTCTTTCTACTGTGGGATCCAGAGTAAAACTCAGGTTGTGAAGCTTGTGCACCTTTACCCTTTGAGCTATTTCACCAGTCCGCTTTATTTATTTTTGGAGACAAGTTCTCATATAACCTATGGCATCCTCAAACTCATTATATAGTTGAGAATGACCTTGAACTCCTGATTCCCCTACCTCCACCTCCCAAGGCATATGCCAATATGCTGGGCTGTCATTTTATTTTTTAATTCACAGCTTCTTACTATGAATCAAAGGTCTACAATGAAAAGTAACTCTAGTCTCCATGCTAGGATTTTTCTAAAGTAAGTTGTGCCACAGCCAAAAATTTATCAGGAAATTTAGAAGTGTTTTCTTCAACACTAAAGTTGTTGTTTTCATCAAAGAAATTACTGAATGTTAATTTTTCCTAGAGGATTAAGAGCAAAGTTCTGAAATGCTGATGCAAATATCTGCTGCTTATTTGTTGCTAGTGGAAGGAGCTTGTATGCTTTTTGGTAGAATCAGGTGCAAAACCTGTTGGTTCTGGTACCAGTTCCCTCCAGACCTGACTCCCATAGTGATAAGTTTTTGGCATTAGCTTTTGCTTTGGAATTTTTACCATGGCACATAGGTAACATTCCAGATCAGAAATTCAGGGTGTGGACCAGGCTCTGGTCCACTCTGGGGAAGTTAATGGAAAGCTTTACAGCAAAGCTCACCTCTCACTCTTCTTTTGCTTTGATTCCTCAGTGAAGAATAAAACAATTGCATCTACTAAATTTAATGAGACTTATCATCAAGAGTTTGATGTCTTCCAGCATGATTTTGAAAACTGTGGCTACAAAGATTCCGCAGTTGAACCATGTATACTAATCACTACCATCTCTCAGCTGTTTTCTCTTGAACCATTGGTAGAATTCCTTGAGTAAAATTTTTTTTTTTTTGTCTTTTTGAGACAGGGTCTCCTTGTAGCCACAGCTGTCCTGGAACTCACTATGTAGACCAGACTGGCCTCGAACTCACAAAGATCCGCCTGCCTCTGCCTCCCAAATGCTGGGATTAAAGGCGAGTGCCACCACACCTGGCTCTGAGTAAACTTTTTATTATTTAAATAACTATAAATTGTTGCCTAGAGGAAAATAGCACTCTTACCACATTTTTAATGTTGTTAATGCATTAGGAGACTTTTAAATAAAAAGCATGCAGTCCAATTGGGTCTTTTGTCTCCTAGACCAGGCACATGGCAAGGTTGTTGATGCTAAGGAGCTGATCCCAAGTGTGCCTGAGGACACACCCGCCTCTGAAACAGACATCAACCTGGAAGTGTCATTTGCTGAGCAAGCAGTCAATCAGAAAGAAAGCTTCAAGGATAAGACCCAGAGAAGCAGAAGGAATGATGCCTCATTACCTGTATGTAGTACATCCTCAGCCATAACAGATTGTCTTTTTGAATCAGCTTTTTATTTTTAAAATTTAGAACCCACGGAGACGTTGAAAGTGTGACCTAGCAAGTGTCCCACGGCCTTTAGTACTCAAGTAGACAGTTACTAATCCTTTCTAACCTTTCATTCTGCATTGGTCTACGTGTATATATGTTGTTCTAATAGATACACAATCACTTTGAGATTTCAAAGACGAGCAAAACACAGTTACAAGATGAGAAATTATATACTAAAGTGATAGTTACATTTAACAGGCAATCATAGGAAAACATCTACAATTGTCCCAAGATTTTCCTCCATGGTATCTTTCACATCTTTCTGATATTAGAACAAGGAACATTAGTTGTCCTGTCTTTCTGGCTTCCTTCAATTGAGATTTCTGTTTATTTTCTTTATTGCTTTTAAGAGTTCAGATTGGTTTTTAAATTTTGTCTAATCATTTCCTCATCATTAGGTTCAAGTTAAACAGTAAACCTATACTACCTAGATGATGTTTATGCCTCTGAAGAGGTGCAGGCTGTCACATGGCCACTATTGGTGATGGTGATGGTCTTTTGTCTCCTAGACCAGGAACATGACAAGGTTGTTGATGATAGGAGCTGATCCCAAGTGTGCCTGTCACTGACTTGGCTAAGGCAGCATACTTGTTCTCCTTGCTGTAAAGTACTTTTCTTATGTTCAGTTTATACCAGATATCATTCTGAAATGGGTGGATATTCTATTTTATAACTTACTATACAGTATTCTCATATCCAGCTTATCTTTGTCTGAAGTAATAATTAAGCTGGTGTTGGAGAAACAGTGATTTTCTAATTGTACTTTCCCTTTCACATTAATTCATTGGCAATATTGCATATTAATCAATTTCTCTTTTATTCTCTTTTCAGTTTTGACTATCACTACAGATTGACTTTTTTCATTGGTGTTTTAAAAATAACTATCATTCCTCCTTGATGTTCGGAGTGACCCAACCCTGCACAGTGGGAGCCCCTTCAGCTGCCTTCTGTGCCCTCATCACACTTTTACTTCTTCATTTTCTAGCACAAGATGTTCCAAGCTCGACTTGTAATTTTCTCCCTCTTAGACTTGAAAGCTGTTCTGTCTTAAAGGAACTGGTTTCTTGTAGCAACAAATGGTATTTAAGAACCAAGCCTTCTGTGCCCAGTGTTATTATTCTGCTGAAGATCTTGTGTTTTTGATGCATTTGTTTATTTAAAATTTCACATATGCAAAAGCTAAACACTTCTAACAACCTTCACATTCAGTAGCCCATCCCAATCCTGACCTATCCACAACCCCATCCAGTTCTCTCTCCTGTATTATTTTGGAGTATATTTCTGAATATTGGTTATAAGATGTAAATATTTATGTTGCTAAAAAATAAGTGATTTAAAAACCACGTGCCCATGTTATCATTATTAAATGATAACATTTAAAAAATCTTAGCACTTTTTAATGTAAAATACTTAGTATTCAAATTTCAAATTGTTATCACAAGTTTCATTAGAGTCAAGCTCCAAATGAAGTCCATATATTGAATTTGGCTGACCTGACATTAGACTCTCCATCTTCCCTCACTTTCCCTGCTCCTCCATTTCTCTCTTTTCTCTTCTTTCCCTTTTACCTTGACTCACTCCCTTATTTTATTGCTTTCCATTTTCTCTGTCCTTTGTCATTCTGTCCCTCCTTCCAAGTTAATTAATTAATTAAATTATTTCTCTTTTTTGTGTATGTGTGTGGTTTGTATGTATGCTCACATTTATGTAGGCATGCGAGAGAGAGAGTTGTGTGTGTGTGTGTGTGTGTGTCTGTGTCTGTGTCTGTATGTCTGCATGTGGAAACTTGTGGTTGAGGTCAGGAATCTTCTTCAGTCTTTTTCACCTTATTTATTGCTGCAGGGTCTTTTATTCAAACTCAGATCTTGCTGTTATGGCTAATGTCCTTAACCAGCTTCCTCTGGGGAATCCCCTGTCTCTGCCTTCTGAGGCTGGAATTACAGGCAAGCTGCCATACCAACCTGGTTACTTGGAGTCTGAGGTTCCAAACTTTGGTCCTCTTACTTATGTAGCAAGTGCTTTAACTGCTGCGCTGTTTCCCTAGCCCTGTCCTTCCAAGTTTGTTGAAGAAACCTTGTTACTACTAAATCTCTCCCTCTGATTAGTTCTGTTCTGTACTGTTGTTTAACATCTTCTATTTATTTATAAACTAGTTGGCTTTGGGTTTAACAGATTTGTTTTATTATTTTTTTTTTTGGAAAGATACTTTAAATGTGTGATCATGTGTTCTCTATAGGAGATAATATCTGAATGTCTTTCTTTTCTGTCCTAGTTACAGCTGTACCTGCCTCCATTAATTTATTAATAGTTCCCAAAGGATAATAGTCTAATATTTTCTTCTTTTTAATTTTTTAACCTGTATGCTTTTTAAGAAAAACATTATCAAAATAATAATTTTTCCCATTTATATGCTTCCAATTCTTTAATTTTTTCTTCCTTAACATCTTTCATCAGTGACCAGTTAACACCTGTGTTTGTTTTTATAAATAAGGCATCTTGCTTCATGGATCCATACATATTTAATGATACCATAGAAAAAATTCCCCAGGTTTATCTAGTATATTTTCTCCCAAGACTGAAAATTGTCTCTTTCTGTAACAGTCTCCATTCCCTGGGGCTGGAGAGATAGCTCAGCATTTAAGAGCACTGGCTGCTCTTGCAGAGAACCCGGGTTCGGTCCCAACACCCTTTTGGCAGGTAACAGCTGTCCGTAATTCCAGTTACAGGGGATCCAGTGCTCTTTTCTGGCCTCTGTGGGCATTGCACGACATGAGTGCACTTAAATGCATTCAAGCAAAATACTCATACACATGAAATAAAAATTAATTGACTTTTAAAAATTCATAGTTCCATTTAGTAGAAGTGGACATTTGTGTCTGTGATCAGGACACTAGAAGTTTTTAGTTCTCTGGGTTGACTGTCACTTTGGAGCCTAATCTGGGGATGAGGTAAATTTTTACCTTTCTTCTTTGCCTGAGACTCCTAGTTCTTAGGAAAGGGCAGATGATGTGCTTTGAATGTCACAAACACACTTGTTTTTCTCCTACATTAATGCATGGGATTCTTAGAATTAACAGTGCTGACCATGTCCAATATGAACACCTCAAAGTGATTGAAGCTAGGTTTTCTTCAGCTGTTTGTGTCCTTGGGATATATCCAAAAGGGACTTAATAAAATAAAACTCCTAAGCTTCAGGTTGCTTTTTTGACATGTAGTATTTCTCTGTAAAAGTATAAAATATTTATATGACTCAAAAGCCAAATATAAAAATGAAGTTTATTACATTTAGTTTTATTATTATTATTTGTTTATTATTTTTACTTTATATGAGTATATTGTCTACATGTGTGTAGGTGCACCCATGTCATGCAGTGCCCACAGAAGTCAGAAGAGGGCATTGGATTCCCTGAAACCAGAGTTGCAGATGGTTGTCAGCCACCATGTGCATGCTGGGAATTGAACGGGGGTCCTCTACAAGAACAGCCAATGCTTTTAACTTCTGAGTCATCTCTCTAGCTCCCTAAATTTAGTTTTTATCCTTGACTGACTATCCTATTCAATTTCTCCTTTTATGTAAGCTTTATTTTTAAAATTATTTATTTTTATTTTATGTGTATCTGTATTTTGCCTGCATGCATGTAAGTGCACCTATGTGTGCAATGCCCATGGATGTCAGAAGATGGTGTCAGATCCCTTGGAAATGGAGTTATGGACTGTTGTTAGCTGCCATGTGGGTGCTGGGAATTGAATTTAGGTCCTTTGCAAAAACACTCAGTGCTCTTAACCATTGAGCCATGCCTCTAGCTTCCAAACCCTCTTATATTAATGTTACAGATTATCTATATGTTTCTATATAAATGTTAGTCCACTATACACACATTTCTTCTCCTTTATTTTATTTTGTCTTCCTAGTATCTTCTGGAGCTCTTTACACGATAATGTAGAGACACACTTTCCGTATCTTTTTATAGATACACTGTATCCATTGTAAGGCTATATCATAATTTATTCAACTGGTCCCTTAATGTAAACATCTGGCTGTTTCTAGGCTTTCTCATAAAAGTTGAAGCATCCGTTTTCAGTACCTAGTGGGAAAAGTAAAGGAGTTTGCAAAAATTAGCATAAAGCAATGGTCCACATTCCCAGGCTCTCCTTAGGAGAAAAAGTATTCACAAAGACAGTCTTTATCACAAAAGATCGAAAGTCCTGGGGGGCTGGAGAGATGGCTTGTAAGTTAAGAGCACTTTCTGCTTTTGCAGAGGACCAGGGTTTGATTCCCAGCACCGATATGGTGGCTAAAACAACTGTCCATAACTCCAGTTCCAGGGGAATCCAATGCCTTCTTCTGACCTTCTTGGACATTGCACAGCATGAGTGCACTTACATACATGGAGACAATACACTCATGCACATAAAATAAAAATAATAAAAATAAAATATTTTGAAAAAAGAAAGGCTTGAGGTTGCTATAAGGATAGAAGCTAATTAAAGAAAATGAAGGCATTTTTGATTTTTAAGTTGTTCACTCAAACAGTGGAATAAAATATAATTAATCTCCTTACTCTTGAGGGACTTAGAAACAAATGTGAGTTCATAGTCAGGCAAAACTTAGCAGAAAAGTTAGTTGTTGAGTCAGTCTCTGAAAGACAGGCGAGGCTTTCCTAGGCAAACATGCAACAGAGGGTGGCAAAAGGTATCTTAATTTGTGTTTGTTTATGTCCTAGTTTGTTTCTCCATTGCTGTGACAAAACACTCTGACCACTACCAACTTGGGGAAGAAACGCTTTATTCAGCTTACAGGGTCACAGTTCATTAGGGAGCC